CTCAGCAGACTGGCATTATTTATCTCACACTTTGGGGGCTTCCTACTATCTCGTCCATCCTTACATTCTTCCTGCCAGACACTCTTGTTCTGTATTGAATTGTGTTCTCCCAAGACTCACATGTGGAAGAGCCATTCCCAATGTGACAATATTTGGAGATGGTATTTTCAAGGTGGTAATTAAGATTAAATTAGTTCAGGAGGGTGGGAGCCTAATTTCATAAGACTCTTGTCCTTAGAGAAGAGGAAGAGACCGGGAATGCAGGTGCTCAGAGGAAAAGCCATGTGAAGGCAGAGAGAATACGACTCTCTGCAGACCAATGAGAGAGCCCTCAGAAGAAACCAAATGTGCCAACACCTTGATCTTGGATTTCTAGTGAGAACTAAGTATCTGTTAAGATACCCAGTCTGTGCAACTCCTCTTGTTCATCTGTAATACTCTCTAGTGTATTTATTATTTTTTAATTTGTCAGAGGGTATGTGTAGCTACTAGAGGGACAGAGGGAAGAGGGAGAAAATGTCCTAAATGCGGCATTGTCATACCACAATTCTTCTCTGTTTCTCCATCTTGCTGGCAATTTAGGCATGCACCCAACATGTGCATGGCACATCTTTTTTTAAGCTGCTGGGATGGGACTCAAGCCTTGCAGACTGGTACGTGGGATCCAGCCCCCTTAACCCCTAGGCCATGGGGCTGGCTTAGTCTCTAGATTAGAATATTTTCATATCCTCCAGGACCTCCTTTTATCAATTTTACTTTCTGTCTTTACCCTATGGGCTTTGGCTCTTTTTCAACAAAAAACAAACAGAATTGACCCAGTGCTTGATCTTTTGTCTGGAATATCCCTTTTCTTTCACAGATTTTGGAAGAAGGAATGAACCCTTCTTCTTTCTAGTACCCACTTCTGCTTTCCACAGCACCTTGTGGCAGAGATTCCTAGTTGTCTTTTTTTTTTTCTTAGTTAACACAGCATGGATTCCCACTAAAAAAATTTTTTTTTTCTTTTTTGTAGCTCTTAAGTTTTGGCTTATGAGATAAGTGTAAAAATATGTGGCTTTTGGGAACCAGCAGTTAGCATAATGGCTATGTCGCTGGAATCCCACATAGTCGACCGCAGTTCACGTCCCGGACCCGGTGGCTTAGAACTCACGCCGGGCGTGTGTGCGTGCGTGCCCAAGATCCCAAGAGGAGAATGGAGAAGAAGAGATTGCGGCATGACCATCCCCGCTGGGAGGTGATTTCTTGCTTTCTGTTTCTATGTCTCTGTCTGGCGAGCGCACGCGCCCTATAGTGAAAACCTCTCAAAAAAAAAAAAAAATGTGGCTTTTAAGAAGCTTTAGAAGGGTGTGTCTTTTCCTTATTTCTTCTACTGTTTGGAATGTGAAGTCTTATTTATTTATTTATTTATTTTTCTTTATTATTATTTATACATCTAATTGCTATACATCATTTAGATTTTTAAAGAGACTTTATCCAGCATGATATACACCTCAGTTCAGTCTAGTTGAGAATACTATACACATCCTCATCAACAGATAATAAACCATGTCTGTGTCCCACAAATGTCTTACCTTGCAATTTCCCCCTCAATTTTCCTTTCCTTCACTCTTCCTTTCCCTCGCTTTCCTTCCACTTTGTCTCTAGTGTCCATGAAAATTTTTAATGCTTTTATGTCCTCCAGATTTTCAGTCTCTGCCATAGAGTGCAGACAGTCTGTATATGTTAAATGGAGACATACAATGTCTCTCTTTCATAGCCTGACTTGCTTCACTAAGCAACAGATCTTCCATATTTGTCCACTTTCTATCAAATCCCAGGGCCTTGAGGTTTTCATGGCTGAGTAGTATTCCATGGAGTATATGTGCCACACTTTTTCTTTTTTTTATTTTTATTATTATTTTTTTTTCATTTCATTTTCTTCCATACATTCAATCACATTATTATTTGTCTTACAAAATGGACACTTCAACAGGCGAACATCTCTCCCCAGTACAGTTGATAAAACTACGGAATATCTTCAACAGACAACACCACACTTCTTTATGCCATCAATGTTTTTCCTCCCTGTCCCTCCCCCAAATGCCCTTCCTCAGACCCTCCTCTTTCACACACACTATATCTGGTATTTACATCTATATACTGTGTTTCTATATCCTTTAGACCATTAGTTTCAGTCATAGAGTGCAGACACTCAGTATATATTAAGTGGGGACATACAATGCCTCTCCTTCATAGCATGGCTTGCTTCACTCAGCAGTAAGTCTTCCATATTCATCCACTGCCTGTCAAAAGCCAGGGTTTTGTTGTCTTTTTTATGGATGAATAGTATTCCATTGAGAATATGTGCCACAGTTTTACTAACCATTCATCAGTTCATGGGCATTTGGGTTGTTTGCATGACTTAGCAATTGTGAAAAGTGTGTGTGGACATTTGGGGTGGTTCCATGTCTTAGCAATCATGAATAATGCTTCAATAAATATAGTGCAAATACTTTTCTGACTGAGAGTTCTCCTGTCCTTTGGATAGATACCCAGGAGTGGAATTGCTGGATAATATGGTAGTTCTATTTGGAGGTCTCTGAGGAACCTCCATATTGTTCCCTACAGTGGCTGGATCAATTTACATTCCCACCAACAATGAAGAATTGCTCCCCTTTTGCCACATCCCCTCCAGCACTTACAATTTTTTTTTTTTTTTTTAAATCTTTGCCATTCTTACTGGGGTTAGGTGGTATCTCATTGTGGTTTTGATCT